CAGTTATTTACATTACAAGTGCGGTATGAACATGATACAATAAGAAGTGTGGAAGATTAAAACGACGAGTACGTAGACCGAGTCGTTCTTATCACACAAGTTTGGTATTCATGTTTAAACGCACGTGTGATGTACAACAAGTTCTATTTTCCAGACTAACAGATTAGGAAAAATCCATTTTTCTATTTTGGTGTCATATCGGAGTCTTTTCGACACTAAAAGTAGTTTCGAAAAGAAGTTCTTTGTGACACTCCTTTTTTACTTATCGGAGGTTGGTAACACTGGCTGATTGATGGCCATCGAACTGTCATTCACGATAAAAAATAGAAGATTTCTATATTTGGCATAGTGTTAGGAAATATGAGAATAAAATTTCCAAGAAAAGTTTTTTTTTTTAAATTAAACAATACCAAAATAGAAAAAATAGTATAAAATATTCGTTTCATAAGACATTTTATCTATAAGCGTTTGGTTATGACGTTTTTACATAACCATTTTTCTAGTAATTGAGTTATGTTGTGAGACTCATAACACAACTAGTGGTGTTATAGACTTGGTTATGAATTCATAACACAACTAGTGGTGTTATGGACGAGGTTATGAATCTATAACACAACTATTTTTGGTGATTTGACAAATGTCAAAGGTAAACCTGTAAAGGTAAAATGAAGGTAGACAACTACTAATAAACGAAATTAATTGAAAAAACTTATTTCTCGCTTTGTAGATAAAACGTTGTACATCACACGTGCGTTTAAACATGACTACAAAACTCGTGTGATTAGAACGACTCGGTCTACGACCTCGTCGTTTTAATCTTTCACACTCGTTATTGTAATCATGTTCATAAACGCACTTGTAATGTAAATAACTATTATCGCACTCGCCCTTTATATAGGGCTCGTGCGATAAAATGACGTCTTATGAAACTTGTATTATGTACTATTATAGTTATAGCTCCTCATTATAATGCAGTATTACCTATTTTGAATGCGCGCTCCCGCTTTATCACGCTATATCTCAAAAACGGTTAGTCGTACAAAAAAAAAGTAATGAACAATTTTACGTAAGTTTTGTTTGGGGTTCTTCGACGTCAGGTGCGCTGGAAGCGAGATTCTCGCGAAAAACCTTTGACCTTCGATATCTCAAGACGCACAAGGGTAGGCATATGAGATTTTTTTGTGCTTTATTAGAACACCAAAACGAAGGTCTCTGCAAAAATTGAGTTTGTTCGACCGTATTCGGCAGATAGCCTATTTTTTTGTCTTATTTCCCTGAGGTATATCCAGGAAACACGTTTTAAGTTGAATATCGCCCAGGGGACCGATCCTCGAGCCAGGGAGTAGAGCTCCTCGAGAGAACAAGTTTTTCGTCTTTATCATTCTCATTTACTTTCCGATTACGTTGACAAAGACAAAACATTCGTTCTATCGGGGAGCTCTTCTCCCTGGCCCGAGGATCGGGCTTCAGGTCGAAGAATGCAGCACGCAGACGCACTGAGCCGAAATCCAGTAAAAGGTATTCTCGAAAACTCTCCGACTTTATCAAATAATCTTGTCAACACGAATCATGAAGATTTGGTTTTAAATACCCAGCTAGCTGACGGAAGGTGCGCTTACCATGCTTATACAACAAGGAACCGGGAGGCAAAGATGGGTTACATGCATCCAATATAAAAAAAAGGCATACTACAGTCAAGCCATACAGCCTACAAGAATTCTATTCCTAGTCTAATTTATATATGTGTATTTTTGCTTTACTCTTTTTTATCTATGACTGACTTTATCAATAATTGTTTTTGTTTTTGCCCAAGATTTTTTATATTTATATTTCCTTTTTTTTTAATTTTCTGCCTATATTAATTTTTATCAGACTTCTATTTTTGTGTTTATTTCTTTCTGTTTTAATTTTGTCTTGTGTGTATTTTACATTGTTTCCTTTTTATTCTAGTTTGTTTTATGAATTTTATTTTAAAAAGATTTGTAGTTACTCTTTTTATGCTAGCATAGTATTTTAGTTATTTTTGTTTAATCTTATACTTTTTGTGTACTTTGTAGTAAGGAATTAGTAGATATGTATTAGAATCCTGTTGGTTTGTCAATAATTTCTCTGGAATTTGAACAATAAAGCTTATTTTGAAATTGAAATTGAAGTTACGCGAACCTTTTGATACCCTACATATTGATCATTTACGTCCGTTCGTAACTTCAAAACTCCCATTGAATCGTCATAGTGGACTCCTTCATAAAGTATGTGTTTATGAAAGCGGTGCCATCTAATAAGACCCCTGATAAAATGTGTGAACGATGTGATAGAAAGCTTTGGTGTGCCGAGACGAATAAAAACAGACAGAGGAAGTTTCTACACGTCCAAACAATCCAAGGAATATTGTCACAATTTAAATATAAAACACGTACTCATTGCTACAGCAACGCCGAGAGCGAACGGTCAGGTGGAATGCTACAACGTTACGATATTGAGCCAGCTCACTGCTAGCACTGATCAGGAAGAAAAGTGGGACTTATCGATTTGCAAAATCACATGGGGCCTGAATTCAACAAAGAATTCTTCTACAGGAAAATCCTCCTATGAACTACTCCTTGGTTACGTACCAAGAGGTGTGGCAAATGCGGCCCTAGCCAACGAAGTCGCTTTGGAAGGAGTTGATGCCAGGGATTTACAACAGCTTAGAGAAAAAGCTAAAGTGAATATCGACAAAAACCAGGCCGAACGAAAGGCTCGATTTGACGCACGTCGATGCAACGGTCTAACATTTAAAGAAGGTGACCAAGTTAATAGTGAAAACACAAATTGCAAGTAATCAGGGTCAAAGCAAAAAGTTATTGCCAAAGTATAGCGGCCCATACATGATTACCAGAGTCTTAGACTATGACCGTTACGTGATAAAGGATTTAATGGGATCTACGAGATCTCAAAAGAAATATGAAGGTGTGGTCTCACTCGACAAGATAAAGCCTTTTAACGTAAACGTAAGTTCAGAATCAGAATCCGACGAGGAAATCTGATAAAAGACGAGGATATGAGGACAGATCCGATCTAGAGGCTGATCCATACATAGTAGAGTTCAACATAGGTCCTGGAAACATTTAGATCTGAACTCAGAACCCAACGTGGGTCTGAGACGATATAAAGATTGGAATCTAAAGTGGAATCGAATGTTATAGAGTGAATGGGTATCCAAGGTTCTATTAGTAAGACGGTGGAAGTTTGAAAATGACTATAAGTACTAAGTACTGTCAATTTCAATTTTCTACTTACTTGTTTTATTATTATCTAGCCTATAGTTTAAGCAATTAGAAACACTAACACAAAAGTCAGTTGTTAGGCATATACACATTTGTACGAAAGTACGAACACACAGGTACGAAAAGGCTTCCACCAGGACGTGGATAGATGTATATAACATGGCCGACTGACGACTGTGAATATATCCATCCAAACCACCACAATCATGATGGGTGCACTATCTGGAAGTCTGATGCAATCGCCTTGAAAGGCTCTTAAAAACAAGCCGACGTAGTCTTGGCTAGAGAGTCATCCGAGCGAGTCATGTCCCTGTGCCCAAGTCTTCTAATATGTATATTCTCACCTGTGCATTATTAATAAAACATTTATATTTTTCGAACCCGAGCGTTCAATTTTGAGTACCCAAAGTTGTCGGAAGTTTACATCCTTTATAAAAATTGACAAAATACAGTAAATTCAGTAGGAAATAAAATTATCTATGTACCACGGGAATTATCAGGTGTTAATACCCACGGGCAATTGATGTCCCTCGGGAGACAAACTTTGCCCTCAGCTATTAGGACCCGCATAACTCCCTTGATACATAAATAACCTTGTAAATAACTATTAAATACAAAACTTGACAGTTTTTTTCTATATTTTCTTTTAACGTTATCAGAACAAACAAAATCGCATCGGAAAATGGAGAAACGTAGACAAATTCGACTTTTTTTAATGGAACACCCTGTATATTATGCGATGAAATGGAAGATCTCTTCTTCCTGATTCCAAATATGTATATTGATCATTGATCACATTTGCGCGAGCCATTTTTGACATATCTTAGCTCAAATTATAAATAATTTGCAAAGAATTTTCATAAGGATGTCAAGAGATAATAATCTTTATGAAATTTCTTTGCAATTTATATAAGTAAAATTTAAGCTAAGATATGGCTCGCGCAAATGATCAATCAATATACAAAAAACTAGGCACCGTTGAAAAGAGAATTCGATGACCTTTGAAATGAGGTATCGCTTGACCCCTACTGCTATTTAAGATTTAAGGGTTGGAGCTTACCCCCGCGAGAGGGTTGAAGTTGCAACATTGAAAATATGTGCAAAAGATTTCCCCCTCCAAATAAAAATCGACGGGTCCGAGCGATTTTTTTCAATGAACGATGAATACGAGATATCGACCTTGTTTCGTTTTCGCTGGCCCACCCTGGATATTTGGAATCAGGAAGAAAAGATCTTCCATTTCATCGCATAATATACAGGGAATTCCATTAAAAAAAGTCGAAGTTGTCTGATAACGTTAAAAGAAAATACAGAAAAAAACTTTTTTTTTTCTATCTCAAATAGTAAAGACTGTGTAGGTATGGGCTCAAATATTTTTCGAATCGAATACCCTGTATGTAGGTATGTGAAAATTTCATAAATTTATATTTTTTAGATTCAAAATTTGTCTGAATGTGAAGCCATAATTCAGTTTAAAAAAATATTTGAAATAGAAGCTTACTTGAAAGACATAATAGAAAATAAAGAAGAGAATAATGAAAAGAAGCCCAAAAACAATAAAGATAGAAAAATTAAAGATAAGAGTGTTACGGAAGCTAAAGGAAGAATAGCAAAATATTCTAATAACTTAACCGAAAAAGAATATGAGGCTATTGAAAAGTGTTTCAAAAAAATCCAGGGTAATTTGATTATTCATACAATAAAATAAAACTTAAATCTACATGCACAATTTTTCAGCAAGTGGCTCACATATTGAACTTAAATCTCTTGAAAAGTACCATAAAATCCAACCGAATTCAACTACCAATATAACTATTCTATGTGGCGAACCTGAAGTGATATATTCAAAAAAATATGAAGTGAAAACAGCTAAAACGGACAAAAAAGAAAAATATAAAGACAGCAAAGAAAATACTTTAGAAAAACAAGCAAATAAAAAAACCATAGAAGATAAACAATATATTTCACAATATAATATACAAATGGGCAAAATCCATATAAAAAGTGTTGTTATAATTTGTACAATAAAATGTTGAATATAATTTAGGATCTTCTAAATTCTTTTCTGAAAAAAAAAATATTATTTCAGACAAATTTTTTGCATCAACAAAAGTTCTTACCTCAAAACCAAAACGTCTTCAATATGCTTTCTGAATTCTGATCGGGTTCTGGTAATAAATTCTTCAAACAGTTGCATATTTCCACTAAAAGATGCTGGAAGATAATAGAATATGCTTGCCAAATTTCTTTTAGCAGCCGTTTCATTATGCAATATCGAATCTGTGGTTAGAACTATTTGAATTTTTTCAAGGTTTTCAATTACATCTGGTATTTTTTGCGCTAAAGCTTTGTGAAAAGTGGAGCAATTTCTTTTGGATAGTTCCAAAAGTGCCAGAATTGTAGTATCAGGGATTGAAGTTTCGCAAAGAATGTTAGGTAGAGTTGACAACCAATTTTGGTAATTGGAATTTCTGAAATAGTATTAACGAATTTGTTGAGATTTTTTTAAGTGGGGTTTGCTTACCTGCTCATGTGCTCGTTACTGACAATATTGGTCAAAATCTGAAATAATTTCAACTTATTTTTTTCACTTATTCTACCATATGCATACAAATGTATAGAATTTACTAGAATCATATCTAAATCAACACCACTTTTTAACCATTTTTGATAGTTACTACCAAAACATTCTTTAAGCAGCTCCAGAATACATTGCATACAATTTTCACCCAATGCATTTTTCTGAATGAATATTTCTGAAAAAACAAACACATTTCATTTAAAAAAAAAAAAGAAAACACAAGAAATAAAATGTTCAAAATTCAAAATAAATCCTTACTTGTTAAATATGCACTTATAGGCCCACTATCCTTCATCAAATTATGCTGGGTACAATTAACATATAAAACCAAGTATAAAAAGCATATCATTAAATTTTCGTGAACACATCTTGCGTCAGTATTGCTTTCTAAAATTTTTAGACTGGGATTTTTGAATTTTTTACGAGAGCCTGGATGGCAATATGGGAAACCAGTGAGCAAGTGTTTGAGGAATTTTTGTCCATCTGAGGACATAAAGACCGTTTTCTGGAATAAATTGGAGTCAATAGATTATTTTTTTAATAAATAAAAACACTTACCAGATTAACTTCATCATTTTCAATTCTTTTAACATACTGCCACAGTAAATATAAAGTATTGGTAATGCAAGTTAATAAAGCAGCAATTTCTTCACTCAATACTGAACTTTCTATAAGTAGTTAATAGAATAATTAATTAAACGAATTATTATATATTATTAAATTCACATACCAGATGCAGATTTTTGTACCTTCTGCTCTGGAGTAACTTCCAACCACGTTTCATATAGAAGAGGTATCAAAGTTAAAATGTGCTTATTTATTGTGTCTGAGTTATTATAGTTAAGTGTATTATTTATGGAAAAAATATCCATGATGGGACCATCAATTTTTTTATTTAATGCTTCTTTGTATATAGGACATATTGATGTTTTATTGGCACTAAATACATTATTATTGTCTTCACTTCTTAAAAAAAAATTAACTAAGTAAAGTAAAACAAACAAAAAAATCCTCACTTACTCCTCAATATGACCTTCTGTATGATGTTTGCCTAAAATAACACTCAACACTGCATGTAGCCTACTCAAAACCTTAATCCTCCATGTCACACTAGTCATTTTGCTGCCTAAATTCAAAGTTAAAGTCCTTCCAAGTTGAGAATCATTTCTCAATTTAGAAATCAACGATAAAAAATCTGGGAGAAGCTTCTCTGATGATTTTGATATAAGGCCACAATCTTTATTAATGAAGCAATCTAAAAATGATAGGGAATCTTCCTGAATGTTTTTGTCTATGTTTGTCATTGCACAGCGAAGGTTTGTTGAAAAAATATCAATGAATGGAGTTAGTTTTTCATTGGGAACCTTAAAAAAGATTAAATTAAAAACCATATTTTTATTAATTGATAAACTTACAAAACTTAAAATTGTGTCGGTACATTTTACACCAGCTTTCCTTACTTTCATCTCCTTGTCTTGCATTAAATTGCCTATAGCTAGGCAAACTTGAGACAAATATTGTTGTACAATTTCTTGTGTGTAATATTTGACCATATCAGTTAGTTCTTCACATGCAGTATGCCTTACATTTTCGTTATAGTGTTTAACTCGAGTAAGTAAATCCTACAATATAGTGTTATATTAGCTAAGAGTATGTTTTAGGGTACCTACACAAACATTGATAGTTTTTTAATTGTGTCAATAATCATCAAAGATTTTACACGACATGTCAGTTAAGAACTTTACTTCTAGAGTTGATTTGTAAGCTTGTAATGTAATATAGGATGTGATGCGTATGAGTGTATGTTAGAGGTGTCAGTTGCCTATTGTGTCCCTCTTTCCGTTGCTAAATTCAGCGAGGCAAAGCAGCCCCCTCTAATGCTACGTCCTTTAGAGATCTTAGAATATTCAGTGTTTCCCTGCAATGTTTTCTGACTGTATAAGGGAAGGGAACATCCCAGATTTCTTATCATTGGCGTCGCAGTTCAATGGGAGGTGATGAGGTTTCTCCTCTCCATTTTCACAGAATCAACAGGTGCTGCTTTCTTCCAACCCCAATTTCCGTAAGTGTTCCTTGACTGCGATATCCTGAGACAAACCTGGGGTTCTTAGACTTTTCATGCTAAGGTTGACCAGCAGTTCTGGATCTTTTTTGATTGAAGGGAAGTAGAAGTTCTCGCATATTTTTTGCCCTTTCGGTTGCTCTCAACCCCCACGTGTCCAGGATCCCAGAGCTCTCATTAGTTTCTGTAGACATTTCCATACTACCTTAGAACTCATGACTGGGATGCTCAATGCTTTGATAGTTGCTAGGCTGTCAAACATTATTGAAATGTCTCGTTTCCAAAATCTTCTGTTCAGGTCGAGGTTCAGATTGAACTGGATACATCTTTCATTTGCATGCAATTCTGCTTGAAATATGCTTGGCGATTTGCCCATTGACATTGGAAATCACACATGTATGAAATGATAAAAAGTAAAAGCCAAGTTAATACAAAATGACTAGTCTCAAGTCAGTGAATCGTCTATTAATCCATATACAGAATAATCTGCCTTAGAAGTTTGAGAATTTTAACTTCTTTCCTAAATTTTCTCTCATTTTCAAGTGTTCTTGTTTCTCGTCTTGTCTGTAGTGGAAGGTGATTAAAGATGTTTTTACATCTACAAAAAATTGAACTTTGACTTTGAGTCGATTTTTGCCGGGTGTTATGTGTATTTTGCACCTTGAGTTCATGTATATCTGGAAAGGCAGGGTCAATATCTTATGTGTCAAAAACAAAGGCTTACATGTACCTTGAACATGTAACAAATGATTCTTTTGTGTAATATAAAGAGTACATTGAATAAATATAGGGCACAGCAGCCTCAGAAGCAAATGCCATATGTAAAACAAAACTCAATAATATAAAAGTAGTGGAAAAGTATGTAGGTATTTTCAACCGTTGGCCGTTGGCAAATCTAGTTCCCTTGACAATACTCTCCAAAGTACTATAGGCACAAAGAATAATCTGTAATTGTCGTGTCGGTACTGTCACTAATAGTTCGCGAGTTTCTTTTTTTTTTTCGAGTTTTTTTGCAGGTTTTTTTAGTTTTCTCTTGAGTTTTCTTCAAGTTTTAGCTCGTTTTAGTTGTTTTTGGAATCCTTTTTTGCATGGAATCCGACTTATAATCTGACATGCCTCTCACACGGAGAAGACGATGGGATGAAAGTCTTCCTGTCTTCTCCGAAAATAACCAACACAATGAAGGTTTTCTGATATTTATTTTTTCAATATTAAAATACAGCTTTTTTAATATACGTAGATTTGGATTTTTGTTGAGATTTTCTGGTTTCTGAATAATTTTTAAATTCTAGAATGTCCAACGGAGCTACCTGGGTCAAATCTCCTTGGATTTCTTCTTGCATTTCACAAAAAAGCAAAATCTGAGCACAAAAACAATATAAAATGATATCGCGCGGGGTTACAACCGATTTGGATGATCTACAAAGAGACCCAGACTGCCAACCAGAAAGATTGTTCTCTGCATAGCAGCAGTCCTGTAAAGTTCCGTTGAAGTACTGCATAGTCCTGTTAACGAACTAGGAATTGCCATGCACCACCACCCACCGAATCAAGGAAGAGCTTTCAATCTGTCAATCCTTCCAATGTCTGGGGCCCAACTCTTGAAAAATATCACATACGGAATTCGATATAAATTCGAACGCTTCTCGTTTAATTTACATTGCTGTCATCAAATTCGAATAAAATTTCGTATGCGATATTTTTCAAGAATTGGGCCCCTGGGCTTGGTAAGGTTTTCTGTGTAGTCCTGCGGAAGTACTTTATAGTCGCGTTGAAGTACTATACAGTCCTGTTTAAAAATTTATACACCCACTGTGGACACCTAGCAACACCTTGGTTATATCGTCGGTCTCATGACATAAGGCCCTATCTCGAGATACGGCCAAAATGAGTTAGGTTCATAGATATGTTGCATATCAGTTCAATTCATTAAAAAGTGAAAAAACACATGGCCCTATCTTGAAATATGAACAGTTTTATTACAGCATAAAGGCGAATCTTGAGACACAAATATAGATTACTATTTTGCAATGTGGTATTTGACAAAAAACTTACATGGTTTGTTGTTCATAATTCCAAAAAAAAAGGACCAAAAATCGGTATACTTCTTTGTATTCGGTTGTCGTAAATATATTAGTTTTCTTTTAATTGCTCTCCTGAAAACTTGTGAAAAACGAGATAGGGCCTTATGTCATAAGACCGACGATATGTTTTAAATAACCCCCAAGAGCCGGATATTTTTAAAAAATCCCGTGGTAATTGAAAACATCCCATATTTCAAAAACTACAAGTACCATAAGTAACGTAAATATATATAAATGTAGGATAACGTTTCAATATGCCCTTGTACAATTTTGCAATATAAATAATGATAACATTCTATATGTGTTAAAGCCTGTCTCAAATCGTCCAAGATATAATTCGTGAACAAATGAGAATATTGCATTGTTAGTTGAACAAAATCCAAATTGCTCAGATGAAAGCAAATCATGTTTATTAGGGAATTTTTCTAGGCGCGTTTCTAGTAACTTTTCAATAATTTTTGAAATAGTCAGTAAAAAACAGGGATACAGACTCGGATACAGATATTGGCCTATAATTTAATGGAACGTCAAAATTCCCCCCTGGTATTTGCAAGAATTTAAATAAAATTTGAATATGTACAGGGTTTTATGGTATCCATATTTCAAGTAGAGATTAGATTAAAGTTGAATAGATTAGAAAGTTTTGAATTATACCTACCGTGGAGGATAACTAAGTGGAGGTCGCATTATTGACCTATGAAAAGTGAAAACTTCGAATTTACTAGGTTTGTGTCTGAACGATTGATTTAACATGATTTTTAACGGTGGATACTTAATGAATAAAATGAATACATTTTCATCGTCCCCCCTACGAAAGTAGATTTTTTTATCTTGCATAGGGAAGCGAAAGCGAAAGTGAAACATACTAGTAGTTACTTTCACTTTCGCTACTAGCATGTTTCACTTTCGCATGCCTATTCACGATTTTTGAAGGGGAAGAACGAAAAGTTTAATACATTACATGCTGCAAATGCCCTTTTAGGTGCTCGGAGGTATTCACACATACATATTGCACCTAGATCACAAACAATCTGTAGGTGCAAAAACAAATCTTACAGGTTAATTATTCTAGAATTTCATATCACTCATACATTCGTTTTATTCCCACAACCTGCCTGTTACAAGAAAAACTGTAAAGGAAAAGAAGAAACTAGGAAAGAAAAGGATCTTAGTTGGTGTATATAATATATAATTGGCTTACACTTTTTAGCAAATACATTGTACTTAGGCAGGGCCCCCGCTACCATAAGCGCAAAGGCGTGCGGCGCACACGGGCGGCATAGCCAAGGGGCGGCAAATCGCACGAAAAAAAAATTAATAATTTTTTTTATAATTTATTATATTTAATAATTAAATTTTTCTTCCTAGTGTTTCATATTCAGAGGCCATCAGGCACCTGATTCTCTGTCCTTCTCAGGTTCCATGTAAAATCTTATATGAGTGACGATGACTGGAAATTAATAGAACCCTGTAATGCTACAGGTCGCCTCTTAACTCCGTACAGCCAATGGGCCAATTTTTCTGTTGGTTCTTGCAAAATTCCTCTGGACTATTGTTATTTATCTAGCTCAGAGTTTTTATTGAAAAACTATTTATGGCCGATTGCACCGTTTGCCTAAACAACGTTTAAATGATTAATCATTGTTTAATTTGAAAAATGACTTGCACCGTTCACTAGTCAACGTTTAGCGAACCTTAAACATTGATTGAACTAAACGTCCAATTTTTGGTGATAACATCGATTAGACTATTCGTACTTTTCAACCTCAATCCATTTATTGGGTTTTTCTTTTTATTGTTCCATTACTTTTACTGAATATTCTAAATTAAATTAAAATGGATTATGATTTCGATTTCCTTAAAGACGATATGTTTTCAAATGACGATCTTGATCTTCTGGACATTATTAGGACTGTTCCAACTTCCAACCAAGCAAAAAATCGCCCCAAGAACTTATTCGGAACCATTCTGTATACACATTTCGGATTCTACGCACAAATTTTACGTTTTGCGCAGAATCTTGGCGGTAAAATGAACGGTTCTCTGCCGGGTTGGAACAAAGCTATGGGGGTCGGATTTCTCTAGAAGGTTTACTAGAGAAAAACCATTTTCAAGAGCTGGATAACCTGAAATTTTTCAGATATTCTCGACCGATGAAAAATACAGTTTTGTACTTGCTGGAACTGATAGGGGATCTACTTAATTGGTTTTATTTTGTCTTGGTTCTTCAAATTTCACAATTTTTGTTAAAATGCATGCAGAAAATGAACATTGAATTGAAAAAACACCAGAGTTCAGTCAGGAGGTCCTGACGCACACCGCAAAAAATAACACGACAAAAAACTTACAAGAACCCGAAAAACTTTGCTAGTCAATTTGTTTGACAGTTTGACATTGTCAGACATAAACTTGTGGTTATGAATGTGCCTTTGAGCATTGTGAGGTTAGCCAAACAGAAGAATATTACGCTGTTGCC